ATTTTTAAATCATTTTTTTTTCATTAAGTATTTAAGTACCTAATTAATTATTTGTGAATACATTTTACTGCATATTATAATATGGCATATTTCGTTACTTCTTAGTGCATAAAAATCCGTGATCTAGTCATGTATATTACAACGTATAAAATAAAACCAATTTATTTATAAGAATTTAGTATTTTAGTATCTTTTAATAAATTTGTTCATAAATGATTCACATCATCTGATGACGTGATTAATGATAATTAATTTAATCAATACAGTGGCGGCGCCAGAACTTTAATACCAGGTGGGCCAGGCTGGGGTAAACATTTTCCGAGACATTTTCCGTTTCCAATTTTTTTAGTTTTTTATTCAATAATTAATATCAATAAAATTTTATTGGTTGGTTAAAAAAGCTATAAAATTAAATAGAGGGTTTCTAGTATATTGTTTCAAATGCAGATGAAAAATAATAAAAATCCTTAGTCACAGTTTTTTTTATAAGCATTTAAAGTCCAAAAATTGACAAAATGTAAAAATCACGAAAATTAGCAAATTATTTTGAGTTAAGAATTCATAAAAATTTTTCTTTTTAAATCTAAGATTTAAAAATGTAATACAAGATCCCTTATAAGTTTATCTACCTTTATCAAAAAAAAATGTCTATAAGAAAGTTAAATTCAATTTTTATGAGCGTTTGAAATTCAAATGTTTATAACATTGGGTATTCACTCGATTTCTCATGTAGCGATTTGTTGTAATTCAAAAACAAATAGCTGTACATACATGAAAATTACACTGAACATTTATATTAGTATTTCCTATACACCATACAATATTCAAAATATTTTGACTCTTTTTGAGCTGTTTACGGACATTTCCAGTTTTCATTTTTTTTAAATTTTTTTTTCTATAAATATCAATAAAATTTTATCTGTTATGCAAAAAAAGTGTAAAAATTGAATACAAGGCTCCTGATATATTGTTACAATATCAGTTGAAAAATATTAAAAATACATATTCACAATTTTTTTTTATAAGCATTTAAAGATCGAATTTTGACAAAATTTATCAAATTTAAAACAAATAATTATTTTGTAGTTAAAAATTTATAAAATAATCAAATTTTATATCTAAAGATCGAAAATTTAAAACAAGATTCCACGTAAGTAGTTAAGTCTGTTACCAAAAAATCTAAAAAATACATAAGCATAATTAATTTTTTAGTCATTTTAAGTTCAAATTTTCATGAAATTACATAAAAAAAACCTAGAATAACTATTTTAGTTATTTTGTGTTAATTGTATAATATTATTAGTGGGTATTTGAAACTTCTAAAGTATACTATTAATATCTATGATAGTATCACGGTTTGTTGGTGATGTATAACGCGTTATAAGTACCTAATGGATATTGTGGTATGATTAATTTGGAATTTATTATAGGTCAATTTTTTTTAATACCATAGACATGTATATATTATGTCTTGTACCTAGACTGACATGCCGTCTCCGCTAAGAATCGTTTTGCTTGTACAATGATAGTTTATCATAGAATTCAAATTTGATACCATCCATAATACAGTGACTCACTTGTAACCTACTGTACAGCAGAGCGACATCTACTTGCACGCTTTTTTATATAATGTGTACTTTATTTACATAATAGTATACAAAGTATCCGCGCTATGCATTTTAAACAATGTGATTGTACAACGTGACTGTTTACCTATATATTATGTGCTGGTCTTAACGTGTTAAAATACTTTGGAACTTAAAAAAACAAATCTAAATTCGTTAATGGCACCGGTATACAGTCGTGTACACGGCTGTAAATCGCAACGTTGTGCGTTTACGTGAAAACAGACATTCGGAAGGATATAAATTCCAAAATAATAATTTCTGCAAATTGATTTTCCACCATCTCAACTTTTTGAAATACATGTTAAAAAAAACATCAGAAAAACGCGTAAAAGTAAAGCGAATTTGTTCCTTTATTTACAATACAAGTAGGTAGATACCTACATACTGTTTTATAATTATTGTAGGTATATAGGTAGGTATTTATAATTTCGTATATTTTACACTGTAAATCTACCGCCCTCCCCCCCCTGTAAGAGAGGAGGAATTTAATAAGATCCCCGGGGATGCATTATTACTAAATAGGGCCCTGTCTATAATATGATAACTTTTGACGACGCATACCGAGACGCGTGAAATAAACCAATCCTATATTCGTGTACCTATATACCGTATCATCGTTTATTAATTATATTATACGGTGTGTCGGTGTCCAAGTATATCTACGTGAAATATCTAAATACTAAACTATGGATCTTTTCAACAATGGTTCCTAAGAAAATGTTGTATAATTGCATACCTACCTACATTTAAAAAAAAAAAAATTAATTTCAATTCAATTTTAAAACTTTTTAAAATTTTAAATGCGATTAAAATAAATTTTTATCAACATTCATATCAACGTTACTAAGACAGAGCTTGTTATTTGTGTAGAATATAATGGTACACGTAACACGTGTTAGCTGAATTATTATTATTTACTAAAATGTAAGAAAAAAAAAATATTGATATACCTACCTAGTCGTCTGGTATTCAAAATTAAGACTGCAATTTTAAACGATAAAAAATATAATATTGTGTCATATTTTGAATATAATGAATCATCTCATATTTTATTATAATAATAGAATATCGTATCCAACGTGAATGATAAGTTTGTGTAATTCAGCGTTTTTAAGTTTATCCGTGGAACCCTTTTTTATGTCTACTTTTATCGCGGAGCCCCTACTTTTTTTTCTAGCTTTTTAGATTTTATTTAGCTTTCAACAGTAAGTTATTATAGCTCAACAATCATCAGAACCTATATATTTTGTTTCAATAGTTTTAATGTGTCATTATACGTATTGCCTTATCTATCTATACATATTAGCCTTTGGTTGCAATTTATATAATATGTGAATTAATTCATAAAGCTAGGTACAATTAGGCTGAGTTGTCTATAAAAATAAATAAAATAACCCCACAAAATACCTACATATTATTACTGCTTTAGCATTTTTATTATATTCCTATTGAACACAAAATATTGAAGTTTTAAAAATTCAGACTTTTTTTATTTCAATTACCATACTTCCTCGATTAAAAAAAAATTGTTTTGGAAAATTATTTTTAATTATATTATAACATATTGAGGCCTGTTCGGGCTGTCACAAGGTAATTTCCCAAGGAGAAATGTTTTACACATTCTCTGCTGTAATAATCCCAAAAATATGTTAATATAAAAATATTTAATACTCCTAAAAATCTGAAATGATCAACTGTGACTTCAATACCATTTTAGGTACACTGTATACACATTTTTTTTTGACCTACAAAGCTGTACTAATTTAGGCTACCTATATTTCATCTCCCTCCTCTATGTGTCCGCAATCTAGATTGCCTATACCTGATAATATTCTGTTCGCATTACGATAAGCAAAACTCACGGGCCACGCCACGTGGGATGGCTAAAAACTAAAGTATAATATGATTTTGCTTCCATACCTAAGCAGAGTGAATAACACCCAAAATTAGTTAATTAATCACAATTTTTTTTTTTTTTTTAACTAGTTCATTATATAGCAACACTATGATGTAGGTATTATTTCATAAATATACAATAGTAGGTATTACACGGTATAATCGTGGTAAAAATATGAAATGGTCGATTGTTACCAATAACTGCACTAATTAAATAGGCAACCAATTATTATTCGATATATTCATTATTATAATATTATTAGGTCGTCATTATCTTATATTTATTAGTCACTAATATAATATAATTAATTATAACACAACAGGATGCCATCGCTCTAATGGTTTCGTCTCTCTGACTCACGAATAACATAATATATTTAATTAGCAGAACTGATTTTTATTGTTAGCTTAATAAATCGATCTATTGTTTACTCTAATGGTCGTGGCCAAGTAAAAAATTATGCGTATGAATATCTACTTCGATATAAACTCAATATGACGAGTTATTTTATTTGTCCGACATACAGATAAGTGGAAATTGGGGCCGTCTGTTAAAATGTTTGTTTAGTATATTATTATGATTATAATTACTAATATTATATTGCACACACATTGTCAGATGTTCGATATCATTATACACTATACCAGTGGATATTCCAACTTAATGTACGGGGCGATATAATGAAATGTCAGAAATGTCACTCGGAGAAAATTTGTAGTCGCCTAGTGTATGATATATTTATAATTACTGGGCGATAACGATTTTTCGTAAAAATTTCGATTTTTGAAATTAGTGTATAATTATTGTACATATTACGTTTAATTTTGTTATTTATTCATGACGTATATAATATAATATATCGTTTGACAAATAGTTATTGAGTTGGAAAACCACGTGACCGTTCACCGTAGCCCGTAGGTACCTATCCATAGAATAATACAATGCGAGAAAGTGATTTATTCCATGCGGAAAGCGACAATGCGACATGGTCGTCAGTCGGGCTGCCTCCGAGTCGTGTCCCGGATTAAAAATTGCCATACTAGTTGAGTCTGGGTTTATTTATAAGATATTACACTATAAAAAAAAAATAATTGGGTTCCGTTTTTTTTTTAGTTATAAATACTAGTAAAAATAGTATTGTTGTAAATTTAGACTAATTTTAACTTTTAAACTAATGCCCAAAATACCATGAATGTATTCACACTGTTCTAGAGAAAGGTAGTATATTGACTCAAAAGTGAAGAACAATAATATAATATGAAAAACATATTATGAAATAGGCTGACAGATCGTTATTTCGCTCAGAATCGTAGGTATTTCGTTTACAATGGTAAGATATCATTGAATTCAAAATTAACACTCATGACCCATCACTATCGATACCACCCAACCTAATCCACTTCATCAGTCCTCACTTTTTTTATTTCAGAACATCTGGTAATATTTCACTATTTTCACTAGAAAATACTACGAATATGGAAGATGAAAATCCAACAGAAGATTCACCAGATATTGGGATTGCAGCTACAAACGCTGATCCTTCTCATGATTTAACTGAGCAAATCGATACTTGCCAACATCGATCTCGGGAACAAAAAAAATCACAAATAGAAAAAAATAGTGATTCGCCATCTTTATTCCAACAGAAAGTTTTGAAAGTTTTGGATAAATCCCATAACGAAGATGATGATGAAGACAAACATTTTCTTCTGTCATTTTTACCCGGAATGAAGGCAATCGATAACTCCAGTAAAATGGATGCCAGGATTGAATTTATGCAGGCCATATTATCATATTGTAATTTAAAATGTGTATTTATTCTTCTACTTAAGAAAATTAAAAATAATATACCATGCAACAACTGACGAATCGGATGATTTTTTTTTTAAATTGCTTTACATTGAATATTAGATGTACGATAACATTATTTTCACTGTTGAATACGCCTAAATTCACTTGACCTTCTCTGAACACGTACCATATTATATATTATATTATATTGTATAGGTCTTTCGTGAATTTTGTTTATTACTTTCAACCGCCTGTGACTAAATAAACAAACATGTATAGACGGGTCATGGTATTAAGTGGCGACACACGGACAAGAGACGGCGCCTCGGATGACAGGGGTTAGATATTATGTTGTTATTATTATAGACGGATTATCGTTATTTGAAAATCTTTCTGTCTGAGACCATTCAAATACTGGCGCCCCACGACTCACCATAAAAATAATATACTATTATCTGGGAATTCTCGGATGCACTATAATATCGTTATATATTTAAGGAATTATTGTTATTTACTTATATTGTGTTATAGCCTATACACGATATTTTTTTTTGGTTTATAAAAGCATTTCGGGTACCCGGATTTTATCGGCATTGAACAATATGACGTTCAGGTCGGGCAGACCCTCCGAGTTCAGATCGCACAGACTGCACGCTGTGGACAGATCGCCCACGTTGTTAGTCAATGTACAACATTAAAGCCGACTGATCAAAAAAAAAAAAAATATATATATATATATATTATATATTTACACGGACGGGCTAAAGCTGACCTGGCTTAAAACTACCATACGATGGGTTGCATATACGTGACAAATATAATATAATATGAAATAGGTATACGCCATTATAATAATAATATCGTCTACCGCGAAGGCTTGTACAACAGATATATTATTTCGGTTTCCAAACCGTTAAACGAGAAAATTGTCGACACTGGCTGTAAAAGTTTATTTAAATTATTTATTAGGTGACCACGATAACGAGTACTGTGCAAAAGGAAAATTAAACAAGGTAGAACAGGATTTACACTCTACAACTCTAAAGTCACTTTACTCTCAAACACCACGATTTAAGATAGTACGGTTGCCCAACGAACTATTATAAGAAACAATTTAATTTTGCTTATAGTTTCTCTATTACCGACGATACTCTAGAAACTTTCACTAGCACTTATCTATAAATATATAAATATATATATATATAATATATATAATATAAAATAATATATTGTTTTATATATAAAAAAAGATCGACTTCTAATTTTTTAAAACTAATAACGTTTTGATAGTCACAAAATGGACAGAAAATTAAACCCTTTCATGTTCCTATATTTAAAAGTTAAATAAATTGTAAAAAAGCATAACTTAATACTACTAATTTCATAATATAACTATTATCTAAAAAAGGTGCACTGCTGTACAGTAGGTTACAAGTGGGTCACTGTATAATGGATGGGATTAAATTTGAATTCAATAATATAATATCATTGTATAAGAAAACGATTCTGAGTGGAGACGGTATGTCAGTCTAGGTATAAGACATAAAATATACTTATCTATGGTAAAAAATTGAACTATAATAAATTCCAAATTAATCATTTCAACAACCGTAATACTATCATAGATATATAGTAGTATATTTTAGAAGTTTCAAGTACCCACGAATAATATTATACAATCACAACAAAATAACTAAAATGGTTATTCTAGGATTTGTATTATGTAATTTCGTCCAAATTTGAATTTAAAATGTCTGTAAAAAATAACTGTGTTGACAGACCACTATTGACAAATGTAGCATACACATTTTTTTACTCTTTTATTGTAATGAAACTTATTATATACAATCATTATCTTTAAATAAAATAAAACATAAATTTGATAAACAGATTATTTTAAATAATAATATATTTTTTTAATTTTAAATTGTTAAAACACTTACGACATAATAACCTTTAATTAAAATAAAATATAACTTTGGTAAACAGATAATCTCAAATAGTAAATAGTAACACAACTTTTGACCTTTAAATTATTCAAAAACTTATAACATAATATAATTTAAAAAATATAAAATAAAACAGGTGCAACAGCGTATCACAGTTGTAGGTGACTGTTACATTTGTACCCATTCAATAAACTTTTAAATCCTGAAACATAATAAAAAATACTGACTAGTTTGAGTATTCAGACCAGAAGCAACAAAAACTAGACAACTTTTGGTATCAAAATAACAGAAACTTCAGTCAAACATATAATAAAAATCCGAACTAAAATAATAAAGTAAGTGTATGATTTGTATTTACTACACTAACAAAACACGTTTAATTTTTTTTTCAAACAGTTATCTTGTTATCATAATTTTAAATTTTGATAAGGAAAATGCGATTGTTTTACAGATGGCCATCTGTTATATTTATTTGAGATTTTTATAATGGTTATTAAACAATTTATTACCTGTGTTACAATTTCACCCGGTCTCCTTCATTTTTGTAACTGTATATACAATTTAAATACAATTTAAAAAAAAAATGTTTATATTACTGTATGTAAATATATTATCGAAAGCGTCCTGACTGACTGTAGAACCTATATCATAGTAGCTAGAAGCTTGACATTTTCATGGTACTATTACCACTTTTGAATAAGCACGTAAGGATGTAATTAATATGAAGGGGTTTTCCAAAGCATTTTAAAGAGGTGCTCACACAAGTATTTTTAGTTACCATCTGTGAACATTTTTTTTATTATAAATGATTGCTATTGGTTAGTCGGACAGCTACATCAAATCGTCGCTTTTATAGCATCGAATAAATAAATTATATCTTAAAACGAATATTAGAGTTTATTTGCAAAATGTTTTTAGATCTGAGAGGAGCTAAAGAATGTATTGGTTTTACAATGATGTGTTTTTTTATTTTTTTCTGTCTGTCAGCAACATTTTAGATAGAAAACATGCTTCGATTTTGGAGATCAGCATCTTTTCTGATAGAAAATCGAACCTAGTTGGTACTCAAAATTGTCAAAATGGATAATTCCAAGTAGTTTTAGAAAACTTCGAGAAAAACTACCGACGAAAAACCGCTAAAAATGGGATTTTAATTTCTAACTCTTTGTTTATCACCATAGCAACGGAAAAAAAAAATGGGTAAGTAAATGTCACTCTGCTGTACAGAAGGTGACAAGTGGATCACTGTAATGGATAAGGTTAAATTTTAAATTCAATGACATTATATCAATGTATAAGAAAAACGATTCTGAGCGTAGTTGCAGGTCGGTCAGCATATGTTATAACTAAGTATATTTGATGATATTAAGATGAATAAAGTAATTTATAAAATATAACCTATTTACGTTGAACCATGTTTTAAATTTTCAATACTTAGCTATAAAAGTTGAAAATTTTATACATTTTTAACTACAAAATAATTATTAAATTTTGAATGTGATAAATGTTGCCAACATTTGAACTTTAAATGCTTATAAAAAAATTGAGCATATGTATTTTTAATAATTTTCAACTGCTACTGTAAAAATATATTATCAGGAAACTTGCATTATATTTTCATGCTTTTTTATCCAACAAATAAAATGTTATTGATATTAGTTATAGAAAAAAAAATTGAAAACTGAGGATTTCCTTAAACGGCTCAAAAAGAGTCAAATTATTTTCAAAATTGTATGGTGTATAGAAAATTCTGATACAAACATTGGGTGAAATTTTCAAGTATCCACAGTCATTGCTTTTTAATTACAATATAATAATCGTTACATGAGAAATAAAGTGAATATCCAATGATGTAAAAATTTGAATTTCAAACGCTCATACAAATTTAATTTGACTTACTTATAGGCATTTTTTTTGTTGATAAAGGAAGATAATCTTATATGGAATCATGTATTACATTTTAAATCTTTAGATTTAAAAAGGAAAATTTCTACGAATTCTTAACTTAAAACAATTTGCCAATTTTCGTGGTTTTTCCATATTTTGTCAATTTTTGAACATTAATTGCTTGTTAAAAAAACTATGACTAATTATTTCTAATATTTTTCATCTGAATTTGAAACAATATACTAGAAGCCTTCTATTCAATTTTTGCTTTTTTACCAACAAATAAAATTGCATTGACAATCATAGATCGAATTTTGTCATGATTTATCAAATTTAAAATTGAATAATTATTTTATAGTTAAAAATGTATAAAATGTACAACTTTTATATGTAAGGATTGAAAATTTAAAACAAGATTCCACGTAAGTAGCTTATTCTGTTACCAAAAAAATATAAACAATACATAAGCACAGTTTATTTTTATAGTCATTTTAAGTTCAAATTTGGACGAAATTATATAATAAAAACCTAGAATAACTATTTTAGTTATTTTATTGTGATTTTATAATATTATTCATGGTTTTGATAAATTTGATAAATTTTGTCAAAATTCGATCTTTAAATGCTTATAAAAAAAAATTTTGAATATGTATTTTTATTATTTGTCAACTGATATTGTTACAATATATCAGGAGCCTTGTATTAAATTTTTATGCTTTTGTACCCTACAAATAAAATTTTATTGATATTTATAGAAAAAAAAAACTAAAAAAAAAGTGCTATGCAGTACAGTAGGTTAAATGTGGCTCACTGTATAATGGAAGGTAATAAATTTGAATTCAATGTTAATATCATTGTATGAGAAAAACGATTCTGAGCTGAGACAGTATGTAAATTTAGGTTTAAGAAATATTATATACATATTTATGGTATTTTAAAAAATATTGACCTAAATAGGTACCTATAATAAATTCCAAATTAATCATATCACAATATCCATTAGATACTTTTAGTACTTATAAAGCGTTAAACATCAACAAAAAACCGTGATACTATCATAGATAATATATAATAGTGTACTTTAGAAGTTTCAAGTCCCTACGAATGATATTATACAACCACAACAAAATAACTAAGATAGTAAGTTATTCTAGGTTTTTTATTATGTAATTTTGTCAAAATTTTAACTTAAAATGAGTATAAAAATAAACTGTGCTTATGTATTTTTTAGATTTTTT